CCAAAAGCAAGACAACACGACACGCCCAACACAGGCCAGTTCGCAGTCCCTAAACTGTTGGAAAAATTGGCACGCAGGCCTGGGTTTCCAACTAATTGGAAGGTGCTTGTTCCGCTCGATATAAATGACGACGATGGCATCACAACAAAGAATTTCGACGGAATCGTGCGACCATGGTTCGCCAAAGACGGTAAATACTACTGGAAAATCGAATTTGCGGATGCCGACATCGACGTTGAGCCGTACGCCATACAGGAGTTAGCGCATGTGCTGAACCACACCGCCAGGTCCGGTTATGCGTTTGTGTGAGCTTCACAGTCGACACAAAAGATCACCAACGCAGTCTATATATTGCTTTTTTAACAAATGCCACACCTTTGGTTTACAAGTTTCTTTCCGCCATCATTATCCGTATGATTAACATTGTTAAAGTAACAATGAAGTAGTATCACACGTCAAAAAATTATCACACGCCAAAAATCTCACTACCACACGTTCTAAACACAGTACACGCGTATAACAACGGGTAAACGCGAAAAGCCATGCCACACGCTAAAAATCTTGCCACACGCGGAAACCCACGAAAGTACATGCGGAAAAAATTCGTACCCAAGTCAAACAACGACAGAAACGTAGCCAAGTACAGCGTGACGGAGCTGGGGTGTTTGGCTGTTGTTTCAGCTGAGAAGATCTTTCAGCCACATCGCTATGGATGTAAACTCATAGGCATGACGGACTACGTGATATGGCGATCGTTGTTGAGGACCAAGGGCTTATCAGGTCATCTGTACCGATGGACGCTCATTATTACAAGAATACGACTTAAAGCGTGCGTATTGGACAGGGCATCAGAACGTGGTAGCCGACGCTCTGACGCGCGGTTTCGTGAATCTGCAGATCGGGACGAAGGCGATGGCACCGGAGCAAAAGCACTCACAGGTCCAGAAGACGATTACTACAGCGGCAAAGAAAGTGTTGACCAGTGCGGTGTCCGAGTACACGAGAAGCAAGTCGGGCAATATGCTGAACAAGGATATTGTGGCAATCGGAAAGGTAGTTTATATTTCTGATGACGATGCCGTCTTACGAGATGTACGTGAATGGGTCCGAGTAGTACACAGGATACATTAACGTTGGTGTTGCGTCAGATGGAGGAAACGGCACAGATCGACACGCGACAGGTGGTTAATAAGTGCAAAAATGTTGGCACTGGAGATGGTAGTGTCGGTAAAGAGTGGAGTATCATTATGGGTAATGTGGATGTAACCGACATCAGGGCAACGGCGTCAGTGAGGCGACCAGGATGGCGAGGGCGAGGACCTTCAATCAGCGGAGGAAATGAATGACGACGCTGCCAAAGATATCGTCAACACGGTGAAGGCGTACCGTGTCGAGTCAGCTAAGATGGGAGTTATATAAATCACGCTGAGGATATCAAGACAGAGCAAGAGCGCTCGGAGGTCGTGCAAAATTTGTTACGCAAGGGCGCTTGTCTAGGCAGAAAATAACAGTGCGTGGTGATGGATTAGTGGCCAAGGACGGCAATAAAATCGTGTTCACGGCCGTGTAATGGTTACCGGCGTTCAAAGCGGTTCATGACGACATCTGAGTGGGTCAGTTGCGTAGGCTGTAGCGGACCTGGTGT